CTTTCAAGATCGCAGGTAGAGCTAGATCGATTCATTGATGACGTCTGCCGTGGTTCCAACTTGAAGTCATCCTTTCAGAGGAATTTACACGTTGACAACGTCCTTTCTCAAATCGAACAGTTCCGATGTGCGACGGTGGAATCGTCGGCATCCAAGCGAGCGATGTGTGCTGCTCCGCCAGCTGCGGGTCTTGCGGAGGTTCCGGGTGCTCTGGCAGGGACGGTGGCTCAGGCGCCTGCTGCGGTGGCGGAGTCAGGGCGTCGGGACGCTTCTGTTCTGTAACGGGAGAGGCGCCTTGCATGACCGGTGAGCCCATAGGCTGGAGGGAAGGAAGCTTGAACACCGGCAGTGACACTGAGGTTTTTCTTGTTGTGACGCTTATTGAACCATGCATGTTCGCGAAACTTCGACTCTTGTTTTTCATCGGCCACGTGACAACACAAACAAGAGTGAGACATTATTAGAAACAAGGCCCAATCGGAAGCTTTTTATCACCTCGCCCGCGTCCAAAAGCGTGTTAAGCGTTTGTTGTTGGAACATTGTGCCAACGATGCACTTGGTATCTACGGGCGCTTGTACCATTCGTGAAACAGGCCCGGCCCCTACTCCGGAACCTACGCCGGCCCCTACGCCGCCTCCTACTGTTGAAGGTAAGCTGTGGTATTGGCAGCCGTGCCCCGAAACCGAAGGATGTGTCAAATATTCGAGAGTTTTGGCATCCAGAAGTTTGTACTGTACATGATTCAATAGTTTTCGATCGCAGAAGTTTTACAGACCTGGTGGTACAGGTCATTCATCCTGAGTTTATTTTATATGGTAGACGGACACAACCCTGTTTTCACAACGGCAAGGTATGTGTGGCCCCTGCCCGGAACAGCTTTGTTAATGCATATCTGTAGGACAGACAAGATCGATCGGCAAATGCCTGCGTGTGGTGCGGGCACGTGGGTAACCGTGGAGTCATTCGCTTGACTGGCTGTCTAATGTATCAATACTTTAATGAGCCTGGGTAAAATGAGCTATACGTATGCAAGGGCACCCTTGACTTCAAGATCGCAGGTAGAGCTAGATCGATTCATTGATGACGTCTGCCGTGGTTCCAACTTGAAGTCATCCTTTCAGAGGAATTTACACGTTGACAACGTCCTTTCTCAAATCGAACAGTTCCGATGTGCGACGGTGGAATCGTCGGCATCCAAGCGAGCGATGTGTGCTGCTCCGCCAGCTGCGGGTCTTGCGGAGGTTCCGGGTGCTCTGGCAGGGACGGTGGCTCAGGCGCCTGCTGCGGTGGCGGAGTCAGGGCGTCGGGACGCTTCTGTTCTGTAACGGGAGAGGCGCCTTGCATGACCGGTGAGCCCATAGGCTGGAGGGAAGGAAGCTTGAACACCGGCAGTGACACTGAGGTTTTTCTTGTTGTGACGCTTATTGAACCATGCATGTTCGCGAAACTTCGACTCTTGTTTTTCATCGGCCACGTGACAACACAAACAAGAGTGAGACATTATTAGAAACAAGGCCCAATCGGAAGCTTTTTATCACCTCGCCCGCGTCCAAAAGCGTGTTAAGCGTTTGTTGTTGGAACATTGTGCCAACGATGCACTCGGTATCTACGGGCGCTTGTACCATTCGTGAAACAGGCCCGGCCCCTACTCCGGAACCTACGCCGGCCCCTACGCCGCCTCCTACTGTTGAAGGTAAGCTGTGGTATTGGCAGCCGTGCGCCGAAACCGAAGGATGTGTCAAATATTCGAGAGTTTTGGCATCCAGAAGTTTGTACTGTACATGATTCAATAGTTTTCGATCGCAGAAGTTTTACAGACCTGGTGGTACAGGTCATTCATCCTGAGTTTATTTTATATGGTAGACGGACACAACCCTGTTTTCACAACGGCAAGGTATGTGTGGCCCCTGCCCGGAACAGCTTTGTTAATGCATATCTGTAGGACAGACAAGATCGATCGGCAAATGCCTGCGTGTGGTGCGGGCACGTGGGTAACCGTGGAGTCATTCGCTTGACTGGCTGTCTAATGTATCAATACTTTAATGAGCCTGGGTAAAATGAGCTATACGTATGCAAGGGCACCCTTGACTTCAAGATCGCAGGTAGAGCTAGATCGATTCATTGATGACGTCTGCCGTGGTTCCAACTTGAAGTCATCCTTTCAGAGGAATTTACACGTTGACAACGTCCTTTCTCAAATCGAACAGTTCCGATGTGCGACGGTGGAATCGTCGGCATCCAAGCGAGCGATGTGTGCTGCTCCGCCAGCTGCGGGTCTTGCGGAGGTTCCGGGTGCTCTGGCAGGGACGGTGGCTCAGGCGCCTGCTGCGGTGGCGGAGTCAGGGCGTCGGGACGCTTCTGTTCTGTAACGGGAGAGGCGCCTTGCATGACCGGTGAGCCCATAGGCTGGAGGGAAGGAAGCTTGAACACCGGCAGTGACACTGAGGTTTTTCTTGTTGTGACGCTTATTGAACCATGCATGATCGCGAAACTTCGACTCTTGTTTTTCATCGGCCACGTGACAACACAAACAAGACCCTCATCGGAACAGGCAGCGCTCTCGGACGCCTCACATCATCTCATGCCGGTCGACGTAGCGCGCTTTACGTATAATCTTGTATAATCTTCTTGCCAACAATGCACCTGGTAACTACCGGCGCATGTACCATTCGTGAAACAGGCCCGGCGCCTACTCCGGAACCTACGCCGGCCCCTACGCCGCCTCCTACTGTTGAAGGTGAGCCGTGAGCAATGCAGCCGTGCGCCGAAACCGAAAGAATGTGTCAGTTTGTACTGTACATGATTCTTTAGTTATGGCTCATTGAAATCGGACGTCTTAGTGGTACAGGTTATTTTCCCTGAAATTCAATGTCATCGTAGACGACGCTGTCTCGAAGGACCGTGCTTTCACAACGGCAAGGTATGTGTCGCGCCTGCCCGGAACAGCTTTGTTGGTGCATATGTGCAGGACATACAAGATCGATCCGCAAATACCCGCGTTTGGCGCGGGCACGTCGGTAGCCGTAGAGTCATTTGCTTGACTGGCTTTCCAATCTATCAGCACTTCAACGGTGTGGCGAAAATGAGCTCTACCGGTACAAGATAACCGTTGATTCTCAAGATCCCAGGTAGAGCTGGGTTGACCCATTGATGACGTCTGCAGTGCTTCCAACTTGACTTAAAACCCTAACCTTTCAGATCAATTAACACGTCTGGGATTTTGATAACGTCGTTCCCAAAATCCAACAGTTCCGATGTGCGACGGCGGGATCGTGGGTATCCAAGCGAGCAATGTGTGCTGCTCCGCCAGCTGCGGGTCTTGCGGAGGTTCCGGGTGCACTGGCAGGGACGGTGGCGCAAACGCCTGCTGCGGTGGTGGAGTCAGGGCTTCGGACCGCTTCTGTTCTGTAACTGGAGAGGCGCCTTGCTTGCTGTAACAGCGCGTCTTGCATTTATCTCGACATATCTTTGATGTGCGACTTGCACTTGCTCATTGAAATTCGAAACAGGCAAACGCGGTTAGGTTTCAAGGTTGGGGAAGGACGTTGGGACACCCCAACCATTCTTTTGATGGGTAACGGTCTCAACCTCCCCCCGGCGTACAATCCCGGGGTGGCGAAAAGTAGTAAGGTTGCGCAACCTTAACCGTGACATCTTTAATGCGGGTTTTCGAGGAGGTCGATAATGTTGGTTAAAGTTATACATTAAATTGTAGGGTTGCGCACGACATGCAGCAGCATTTCGGCGACAAGAGACTGCAGTTGTGCAGGTGTATGTTTTGCCTTTGATGCTCGGGTCGAACAGGAGGATTGGTTAGGGTTTAAGACAGGGTTTTGTTGTGCTGTCCTGCGACACAAAACGCCAACCCGAAGATGTTGCAGAGGGCGAATGATGAGTAATCAACGTTGTGCTGAGTTTATTCTGTGTATGCGAGACGTCGGCATTCGATCCCTGAAGTCGAAACATCATGACGCTGGGTGAACCGTGGTTCCGTCGATGTGTTTGAGCTTGAATGGTTCAGCCCCCATCCGTCTTTTTTTTTGCTATCGATCTGACCTACAAAATAACACCATTATTACCATCTTTGCCCCCGTGGAAAATTGGGAAATCGGCGTCACAGCTGGCCTGCACAATCTTAGCTAGGGCTACGCTAAGTAGGGCCATGCACGGAGCGTTTTCTCTAATGGACCATATGGACGAAACACTTGGGTCGCTTTTAATATAACACCAGATCCGCTCCGCGACCTGGTGAAAATAATAGTTCGAGAGAAATGTGCGCATGAAAAACGCCAAGCTTCCTTCTGAAAAGCTCCAAGAAATAAACTTGAAAACTCTAAGAGCATACCGCAGCGAAGCAATGAATTGCACAATTTTCCATGGAGTACCGTAGCGTTTCATTCCAAAGTACAAGAAGGAAGGGAATGTGTGTGCAACTGCCTCACGAATGAACTATCATGCAAATCCTGTCATCGAAAACTCTGCATGCACCGACGGGTAAATATGCGAACTATATAACCCGATTGTCCAAAGAAGATGTAGCTCACCGTAACTGACCACTAAGCAACATGTAGCCACTGAAATGCAATACGTTGGGCAATATCAAGTCCACCTAATGGAAATAAGGTATTCAACAATCTGATTTTTTTTTTAGGAGTGGCCAAAATCGGGTACACCCGGCCCCGATCCGGCGATTATCGGGTACACTTGTTTTTCACAGTCGGCAGCGCCCTCCTGGCGCCATTTGATTGGCCGACGCCTGTCCCTACCCGGCCCTGACCCCATTCCCACCGGGTGCACCCGATCTTGGCTACTCATCCCCGGGAGGGGTACCCGACCTTGATCTCGTCTACCCGAAAGTGGCTGGGCTATTCGACCCCACCGACCTCGCTCACGAACACACGTCTTTAAAGGAATGCCCGCCCGACGGTGGCTTGCCTCCTAGATGTAGTAGATGTAGATTCTGCCGTAGACACTCTTGTCCACGAGCACGTTGAGATGGGAAGGTTGCTTGTTGTTGCAGAAGCGGGTCTGCTACAGGTCTGAGGTGAGGCGGATTGCCCTCAACCTGGGGGCACGCAGATAGCTAAGTCCCGATGGGGTACGTCCTAAGAGGGTATACCTCCTGACGTCCCCCATCTTAATCTAGACCNGTGGAAAGAGGAGCTGTAAGAATATCCCGACTCGACCCCCCACACCACCATTGAGACAAAA